GATAGACACACAATTTTTTTAAAATATAATTGGAATACCTGAAAGGCTGTGGTTGTCTCTGTCACTAGGTTGCTGATGCCATCGCCATATTTTACTACAAGTAGGCTATTATCGACAAACTCTGGAGATTTTGTCCCAGGAATAAATCCATATTGGTTGATTGCTTTAATGAAAATAAAAGTTTGCAGGTGACAGCATGGGCATGAACTGCCCAGTCCATTGCAGGAGCTGGGATGGAACTCACAGCCCTCCCAATATTCCTTTTGTGGGCAAGTACTTAAAATTTGGGATGCGGGTGGCGCTGTGGGTTAAACCACAGAGCCTAGGACTTGCCATTCAGAAGGTTGGCGGTTCGAATCCCCGTGACGGGGTGAGCTCCCGTTGCTCGGTCCCTGCTCCTGCCAACCTAGCAGTTCGAAAGCACGTCAAAGTGCAAGTAGATAAATAGGTACTGCTCCGGCGGGAAGGTAAACGGCGTTTCCGTGCGCTGCTCTGGTTCGCCAGAAGCGGCTTAGTCATGCTGGCCACATGACCCGGAAGCTGTACGCCAGCTCCCTCTGCCAATAAAGCAAGATGAGCTCCGCAACCCCAGAGTCGGTCACGACTGGACCTAATGCTCAGGGGTCCCTTTACCTTTACTTAAAATTTGAAATGCATTGTCTCAAAAGCTGATATGGAAGGGGGAAGCCAAGTGGATTGTCCTGAGTTTGGTTTCAAAGTCTATAACTGCAGGCATTCTGGTGGTCACATGAGCTTTTGGAATAAGCATTTGGATTGATGATCCGTCTGCATTCCAAGTGAGTCAGTGATGGGGATCCCGAAACCATTTTTTCTTTTTGCGCCTGACCTTTTACAGTGCTTGGTGGCTGATGCCATGGAGTTCCAGGAGGAGTCCCGCACAACCGGAGCGAGCTTGAATTCTTCGCTTTGTGCTTGTCCGCCTGTTTTGTTGCCCTGGAGACAGAACAGCGTGGAATTCTTTCCCCCTGACCAGAAATAGTTTTCCTGTACCTTGTGACTGGAGTGCTTTCCTTCTTGGTTTGCAGCCAGCTGTGTGTATATGTGTGGGCATGCATTTCGATGAGGTAGGTTTCAGGGAGCATAGAGGTCATGGCTCCTTGTTGTAAGCTGTGCATGTGGGTATCGCTATATTCTACCCTACATCTCTTGCCTCCTGCGTCTCAAGAGGGTGTAAGGTTCCCTGCAGCAATTGCTCTTGATTTACATCGCCTGTGGCATTTCACTGGTTATGTCATGTCTGCTGAGGCTGTGAGCTGGTCAGCTGTCCATCTTGGCTGGCTAGCTGAACAGCACGTGGTAAGTCTCCATCCCTCTCCTGATCAGCTGTTTGCTTCCCTGCATTGTTGCCCTAAGAAACAGGTTCACTGCAAACATAACTCACTCATTGGGCCAACACGATCGCCATCAGCTTATCAGAAATTAGGTTTTCAGCAGTGGGCATCATCTGCAGATCTTTGGGTGGTGACAACAGGCGCAACTCTCCTCTAGTGAGAGAAGGGTGTTCTTTTTACAATTGATCATCACTTTCATCAGCAAGTTTCTTAAAAATGGTTGCTGAATCTTGACAGGTGAGCATTGAGAGAGGGTTAAAGGTTACATTAATAAAGTTTTTAGGAGTAGGTGGGTAGAGACTTCTTCATAAAGTGCTTAAAGTCATCCCTTTAGAGTGTGCTGTATTTTCTATACTTCTCCTTTCATGTGGTTGGCATGTGTTGGCTACTTTTTTAGTCCCCTCACTGTCCAGCTCTCCTTTGGCCCAATATTTTTTATTCAATGAAAACCTTGGAAACTTTCCCTTTTATGGCATTTTAAAAGATAGCTGGGTGTACTACGCAAGTAGGAAATAATAATGCAGAGGACCGATTTATATGCAGGTACATGTTTCACAAAGGTTTATAAATTGGAGCTCTTCATTTCTGTAGTTGTGGAATGCGGTATGTAAATCTTTGTCTATTGTTGTTTTCTTGAAAAGCATATTTCTAGTCCTTATAGTTTGTATGATTAATGACAAATAGAATAGGCAATTAATTATTTTTTTTGGTAGGTTGTGGGACTCTTATGGCCTGTTGTTGGCGCATGGTCACTTTTCAGTCCCTAATCCATATATATATAGAGTCAGGAGTGCTCTGATGGTGTTTCCTGCTTGGCAGGGGGTTGGACTCGATGGCCCTTGTGGTCTATTCCAACTCTATGATTCTATTCTATATTTCTACAGTCACATACTGAAGCCTTCTGCCCTTCCTGTGAGCCCATGTCTTGCTGTATGAGCAGTTTGCTGGCCAAAATCCAAAGCCAACTCTCTTTCCATAGAAGCAGGTTTGCATTTGTTTGTGCATGCAGACAAAAAAGGGGGGCCCTAACATTTAACCCCCAGGAGTAGGTTGAAGATGCAGGCCATGCGCAATGAATTAGGAGGCTGAGATGAGCACATCAGATTCCGGGTGGGGAGTGGTATTAATATTTTTGGAACACTCACACAGGCTACTTCCTGCCTTCAGGAAACTAACCCATGAAGAGGGGGAAGTATCCTAGCAGGGTCTTCTCATCGAAGACCTGCTTTTGATGGCTTTGTCTTTACATACGGATGGTGGTGTTCAAAAGCATGCCCCGCCCCCCTATTTGTTGTCTGAAGTGGAAGCATCCAGAATTCTACCACCTTGTTTTGTGTGACACATAGATCAGCTCTGCAGCCAAATCTGCAGCCACAGCTACATAATGTGCAGAAAGCCTCTTACACCATATAAAAGATTAATCAGTATTTTTCTTCCACTGTGTTGGAGTGGCAAAGAACTGCATTGCTCTGCTGTGCAGCTGCTGTTCTCATACTTGGTGATCATTGCACTAGATCTTTTGAGGTTCTGCTTGCACAGTTTGCAGCATCTTTTGGGTGCAAGGGAGGAGACCTCTGATACAGAACTTCTGCTCCGTGCTTCTGAAACGCTGCATTTTGATGCAGCTCCAGCATTTTCCCTTCCTTGCCCTGGGATGCTTGCTGTGATCCTTAGGACTAATGCTTAGTTTGGGGAATAAGTATTACTATAGGAAGAGTTGCAGGGTGATGCGACTTTGTGCTGCAGTGGTAATAGTACTACTACTGAAATATTTTGCTTCTGAACAGTTTTTGAAGGTGCATGCGACCTCCCTGTCTTGTGTGAAATGGAAGGCTTTCCAAAAACCACTAGGCGCAGTTAACACTTTTTTGGTGGTAGGTTTTCTCTTACCCATAACAGCAGCTCTTTCCTGGGGCTGGAGGTCCTCTTGAAACCCCTCTGCAACCCAGCTTGTTGATCATGAGCCCCTGACCTTGATGTCTCTGAGCTGGGAGAGAACAGCAGGCTCACTATTGGTGTAATAAACGTGTGTGCATGCTGAGGTTGGAGGCAGTCTCCCTCCTTTACACAAGCAAACAAATCCTGGCATTAACTCTCTACCATTGGCAAGGGGTGAAGCTAACCAAAGTCAGCACCAGCATTGCTTTTTTAAAAAATGCCAGTCTTCCTCGTTGACTTTCAAGCCTTGTTTTCACCTTGCTTGATGATCTTCTCCTTTTTGCTGCTGTTAGAGAAGGGACATGATCACTGAGTTGACAAATCACTTCTCTGTCTGATCCTTGGTGACTAGAAAGGGCCCTCTGGCATCTTCTCCCTCCCTAACCTCCCCCTCCCCATACACACATCATGTCTGATTTTTCAGGGTTATGGAGAAGCTGCTGCCTCGATGCTTTTTCTTTCTAGTCCAGATGACAACCCTGTTGGAACTGACGTTGCTTTTCTGTTGCGATGAATGTCCTCCTTAGGATATAAAGATAACTGGCAGCACTTCTGTGTCCCCACCTTCAAGCTATTCCACATTACGATTGTGGGTTTAGATTGTCCAACCTAACCTTCTGTGTATCTGTCCTAGAAACAGGTTAAGGGTGAATTCTTTGGCTTTCAATACTAGACTTGTTATCCTACTCCTTTCTGTAAACCATTTCCCAATATGTTTTATTCTTAGTCTTAGTTTTACTCTTTAAATTTGTATACCGCCCTTCATCTGTAGATGTCAAGGCCATTCACAACAAAAAATTACAATATAAAAACACAGAAAGCATAATAAAAACAAAAACAAAGCAACACTCTGCCCTGATATCAAGTTCAGTTCATGTTTTGCACCAAGGAAACTTAGTTCTACACCCAAATTATACAAATCAACAAAAAGCAGGGCTGCCCCACACATGAGACCAGGTGAGGTGACTGCCTCAAGCTGCAGGATCTCCAGGGGCAACATATCCCGATGTTGATCTCCCCCACACCTTGTTCCTGCTGTCGATCTTTGGCACTCATCCCTTCTTCCCTGGTGGGAAGAAGGACTGCCATTTTGGGGTTTGCCTCAGGTGCCAAAATGTCTTGGACTGACCTTGACAAAATGTTCATTCAGCTGCTTATTCTGAACCCTGAATAATTTGAATTTTAAAGAAAAATTGTGATATGGGAGAGAGAGAATGAATAAAAGGTGCACACATTTATTGAGGCAGTCAAATTCATCTCAGTTCAAATGTGTTTTGAGCAATGCACCTTTCCTTAAGAGGCGTATCTTGATATGATTATTAATAGAGGAGATTAGCAGAATATACCTAGACACACATGTAAGTATATATGCCTTAGAAAAGATACTCAGGTCTCGTGTATAACTACTGAAAGCCTCACACAATGAAAGAATGGGCCGTCTAAAGCAATTCCTTTCTCATAGAAAAGTACCATGTCATTTGTGCGTTAACGCTCTCCCTGCCGACCTTCTATATAAATATTGTCAGGGTTGCTTGCCATCCTGGAGGAAGGCATGTTCTGGGAGAGAGAAGGCTGCTCTCAGACATCCGCCACATTCCGTTTGCGGCTGGTCTGTTGGTGTGTCTGTCTAGCTTTTTGTTTAGATCAGAGCAAGGGCCCTGGAGCAAAAGTTGCCGACTAACTCTTTCTTTTCTTTTCTCCTGCTCTTAGATCACCAGAAACTGGAACGTGAGGCTCGAATCTGCCGATTATTAAAACACCCAAATATCGGTAAGTAGCATGGGAGAAAAGTCTTCAAATTCTTCAGCTCAGCAGGGACAGGAAGCTCGTTGGAATTTTCTCTCCTTGCAAATGGTGAGCAAGCCGTTTTGTGGGGCCAGAGCCAGGTGGGTAGAGAGCGATAATTTGCGCTGGAGAAACATTTTGGGTAGCCTACCTCAGGGTGAGGGGCAAATACCGTATTTTTCGCTCTATAAGACGCACCTGACCATAAGATGCACCTAGATTTTTAGAGGAGGAAAGGGGGAAAGCCCTGGTTTTTTGGGGAGTCAGCCCACAGTTTTGCAGCTTCTTTTGCAAAGGGGAAAAGCCGTGTTTTTGAGGATCAGCTCACAACTGTGCAGCTTCTTTTGCAAAGGGGGAAAGTCCCTTCTTTTGAGGATCAGCTCAAAGTTGTTGAGCTTACTTTGCAAAGGGGAAAAAATTCTGTTTTTATGGGGTTCAACTCACAGTTCTGCAGCTTCTTTAGGAAAGGAAAGGGAGCCGTTTCTACAGTTTCCAGAAAGATAATCTAATCACCCAGTCACATGTCGCTGGGGAAAAAACAGCCTCCATCTGCAAAACATTCAACAATGGAGGCCTGGGCAAGGGACCGGGGCCGGAAAGGGAGCCTGCGATTGACCACACATTCACTCCATAAGACGCACAGACATTTCCCTTACTTATTAGGAGAAAAAAAGTGCGTCTTATGGAGCGAAAAATACGGTACCTCTGTCCTCCACTTCAAAAGACATTTCCTCAGAGAACGTGCATTTTACCACCATCGGCCCATCGGCCCATCCCTGATCTGTCTCCTCAACTCCTCCACACCCAAGCAGAAGAGAGCGGTTGCCATTACAGAGTGGTTGCCCTCCCTTTGGCTTGTCCCTGACTGCTTACTTGGTTAGCTCTGCTCTAGGGTATATTCAATGAAGGGATCCATTACATGAATGAGAACTGCTTGCTGGAACAGACCAAAGCGCAGCTAGCCAGAAAAAGCAAAGCATGAAGGTCACATACTTCCTCTTCCCTCCCCAGTAGGTCATATTCAAAGGTATACTGCCCCTGAAATATGGAGGTTTCATTTAGCTGTATGACTGACCACTGTTTATAGGGCCCCTGTCCTTGTGCATGCACGTGCGCTATCTCTGAAATGAAAAGCGTTTTCCTAGAAGGGGGTCTCCGAACTTCATCCGAGCAAATGGAAACTTAGAATGGTGTTGGGCATCTCTACTGAAGCCTCATAAGCCCAAGGCTTCTGCTCTCTGGAAATGGCATTCCAGTGCCCAGCACAGCTCCTTACCCATTTCCATAAGGACTTAAGAAGGGCCTGCTGGATCTAGTTAGAGGCCTGTCTGGACCAGCATCCTGTTCTTACAGGGGCTGAACAGACACCTGCCTGTAGTTTCTAGCAACTGGGATCCAGAAGCATATTGCCTGCAACAGTGGAGGTAGAACATAGGAGGTAGAACATCAGGTCCAGTAGCCTTCTCCTCCATGGATTTGTCTAATTCCCTTTTAAAGCGACCCAAGTTAATGCCCGCCATTGCCTCTTGTAGGAGTTAGTTCCACAGTTTGTGTGAAGACGTACTTCCTTTCTTCTGTCCCAAATCTTCCAGCAGTCACCTGAGTTGTAGTATTGTGAGAGAGGAAGGAAAACTTCTATCCTATCCCTCCACTTTCTCCATGCCATGCATAATTACTTGCCTTTTCTCCAAACGAAAGAGTCCTAAAGGGTGAAGCTTTTCCTTCCCATTGATCATTTTGGTTGCCTATTTCTGAACCTTTTTCAACTATACAGTGTCCTTGTTGAGGTGGCCAGAACTGTACACTGTACTCCCAAGTGTGATCACACCATACATTCCTATAACGACATCATGATATCGGCAGTCCTATTTTCAGTTCCTTTCCTATTTATCCCTAGCATGGAATTGGGCTTTTTCACAGCTGCCGCGCACAACTTGACGTTCTGGCTCTGCTTCAGCAAGGCTTGTCTTCTGTATGCGTGGCTATTTTATCTCTTACCGCTTTTCATCAGTATAGCAAGAACTTATGTTTAAGCTAACTGGCCTGCAAGTTCCAGTATCCCCACTGGATCCCTTTTTTAAAAAATCGGTGTGACAATCAACCATTTTCCTGTCCCCTTTTATGAAGGCTGATCTTCTGAACAAGTCATTTATTTTTGTTAGATCAGCAGTTTCACCCTTGAGTTCTTTAAGAACTCTTAGGTGGATGCCATCCAGACCTGATGTTTTGCCAGTTTCTATTTTGTGAAGAAGGCTTGGGACAGTGGTTTCCAATGTTTTTTGTGTGCCATGGGCCACTTGAAAATTGCTGAGGATCTTGGTGGACCACTTAATGATTTTCCTACTACCCCCTCCACCCATTGTAGTGATGCACTGTCGTGTGCTGTGCTAGATGCTGTGTGAGTTTTAATTGTAATTTCATTGATCCTGTTGTTTATTGCATCTTGTACCTTATTGTATTCCATGGAATTTAAATTGTAATGGTATAAGATGCAACATAAGAAATAAAAGAAGCAGCAAAAGTGCAGCTAAAATCAATATGAATATTTAGTATGATGGAAGTGCTGTCTCCCCTTTTCAGCCACCAACCTGAATGAATATGACAGACTGCCGCCAGAGAGCCCCTGGCCTAGAATTTAATCCCACCACAATTTTGCCTGCGTTCCTCAGACTCCCTGTAAAAAAGTTGGTTCAGGCACAGGGATCTGACATGGTTCCTTTTTCTGGTCATGGTGTTTCCATCTCTTAATTCCCCACACATGCCTCTCTCAGCTAACTCAGTGTTTTCCCCCTTTTTAAAAAAACAACAACAGCAAACTAATTCTGGAACTACGAAGCAGGGAACTTTGGAGTCTGGCTTGCATATATTTCTGGCTCCAGGAAAATAATTTCCTCTTCTCCCAGACATTTGATTGATTTTCCCGCACAGCTTTGTCGGGCATCTTTTAATTAATTAATTTGATGGTGATCATGCTGACATTGGGGAATGTGGGGTTTTTTTATTGTTCTATGAAGTTGTGTGTGATCATGTTTGGTGCTTTGCTACTTGTGTTTTTAATCTCATATGTGATTCCTCCCCCTCCCCCCCACCCACCTGCCCTCCTATTTATATTTGTATCTTTACTTTTGCCTTGAGACTCTTATGTATGACATGATGAGCAAATGAGTAGATAATTATCAAAGGCCGTAAAGGGCTGTGCTGTCATATGTTTGGGAGACCTTACTGTCACCCTGCTTTGGAAGTTCATAGCTGCTTGCTCTTTAGGTTACAACCCAAAGATCTAGTCTGATTTCTCACTAACATGTGGTGAGGACTTTGCACTAGTGATGGTGCAAACTTCTCCTGCAAATCTCCTCCTGCCTTCCACCTACTGGTCTATCAGTCTTCCTTCTCTGGTGGTGCAGATATGAGACTGAACCTGAGGAAGGTACCTCTCTCCTGGTTCCCTTCTCTGGTGCCTCTCATGTAGCCATGGTTCCGAGTTACTAGCCAGGAATATTGGGGGAAACTACATTTCCCAGGGCTGCTAATAAGCGCCAGCAGCACTGGGGAAACTGCATTTCCCAGTAACCCTAGTTGGAAGCTGTAGAGATCTTCAATAGGGCTGGGGAGGCTGATTTTTGAGAAGTGTCTGGAAACCTCTGCTGGCCCAGAAGAGCTGTCTGCATCCAGTTGTTTTCACCATGCAGCTTCCTTGTTCCAAGAACTATACCAGCTCCAATTTAGACTAGCCATTATGACTCTTGAAAGACTTCTTCCATATGAACCCTGTTCCCTCGTTAAGAATTTCTGGAGAGGTTCTTATTTGTGTCCCACCACCATCTGAGTTGCATTTGATGATTGGGACATGAGACAGTGTCTTCTTTATGGCGGCACCGAAGTTGTGGAACCCCCTTGCCTCCTCCCCAAAGGCATTCTACCACAGTGCAAAAATATATTTTCTTCCCTGCCAAGCATTAGTTCTGGCAGCCTAAGCTTTCTGTCCTTGGTATTTTAATCTAAATCTGTTTTATCTGCCCCCCCCTTTAGTTTGGTTATTGTGTGTGTTTCACTGTTTTGTACGTTCCTAAGGCATTTTCCAAAATGTAAAGGCAGGTAGAAGCTTCATTAAAATAAAGTGGGGAAAAGCAGATGAGTAAGTGGACAGTTGTAGAAGAAAATGTCAGACAAGGAAAGAATTAAGCATAGCCCTGCAGATGTAACAGACACACTCTTCCACACCCCACTCAATGCTTTGCCTGCCATGGGTTTGGGAATCCTGCTTTTGCCGCCAAATAGGCAGTTTACAAACCTGCTCCCCAACAAAGGTGATGTGCTGTAAAAGAACCACACCAGCGAGCCATTCCCTATGTACACATCCATTGCTGCACAGTCCTAACTGTTAAACAGGGGACTTGTTGCCTAACATACTCCGCCTCCACTTGGGACTCACCCCACATCCAATCCTTGGCTCCTCTCCCTGAGCATTCATTTGAAGGCTTGCATTCAGAAGATCCAGAAGTCTCAGATGCAGAGCTCTTAAGCTGCCAGATCCCTGGCCCCTTTGACCATTAGCTTCTGTAAATGGGGAGAGCTTGATTGTCTTTTATTTCTACTCTGCAAGTTCCTTTGTCTGTTGCTGGAGAGCTCCACTCACTCTGGGCCTGTGTTTCCATGGTTATCATCCTGTGAGCAGGTTTATTTCCTGTCACCCCAAGGAACAGGGAGCAGGATAATTGTTCGCTTGGAGGGTTCGCTGAAGGGCTGCAACAAGTGGTGGGATCGTGGGAACAAACTTCAACTTGAACTGGGGAAAAAAGAGAGGAAAAAATAAAGTTCGGTTTTGGGGACAAAACCACGTTATTTACGGAATCTGCCAAACAGCAGTAGGATTGTTGCTTGTTCCACAGCTTTGTGGAAAGCTGCCCATCATGTCAGTCTCTTTGTGGTGCACCATTGGGGGTGAATTTCTCTCTCTCTCTCCCCCTTTTAAGCAAGGGAAAAGA